ATTACAAGCCTAGTCCTTTTAGCTTACTGATACATAAGAAATGATACCGTGGACAAGGTCGTGGTCAATGCTCAATGGCATGCCATGGATATGGTAATATCACATCAATAACATGGTAATGTATGGATATGGTAATATCATATCAATTGAGGAAAAACAAGTACAAATTAAAGAAAATGTCAGTTATTCTACATCTACATCATCTACTAAGGAAAATGAGGAATTTGGAGTACTGTTGGTAATGAATGAGTATACCTAGTCTGCTTCAAACATTTCAAAATTAAGTTTTATGTCTTGAAAATGGGTCCTGGATCAGGCCTGGTCGTGTCCAACAGGCAATGTCCGTAATGCGGAGGAAATGAAAAGGCACTTGTGAGCAATGAGCAGTGGGGGAGACTCAACTGGCCAACTGGCAGGGTACAGAAATAGTCACTAGACTAAACTGGGAGATGCCCAAGCCCTGGTCCCCAGCTCAGCATGGGATCCACTAGTCCCAACCTGGCCCAGAACACACTCCAAATTGGCCACTCTGCAAAAGTGCAGAAACAAGAACACATAAAACCTACCAACAATAGAACACTTGGAACACATAAGTACACTTGAAACACATATGTACACTTGAAAAACATAAATACACATTGAAGTACCTATTACTTAACTCCAGAACAATTTAAAAGGATGATTGACAATATTTACAAACATTTACTTATAAGATTTAAGACTGAGATGCCTGGCCAGAGTGTTCCCTTGACTCACCTATAAAGAGCCGTGATAGTCTTGGGGTAGACTAGTGACAAATCAGCAGGCAGTAGTGAGGGACAGAAAGCATGTTCATTTGCAGCAGGTCAGTCAGCATGGGTGAGTAGCAGGTCAGTATGAGTGCAAGTTATGCAGGACTATGGAAAACTGACTCTCTCTAAAACCCTGCTTCACATTCAAATGCACTAATTTAACTTTATCTAGCTGTCACTTCTTTAGTTTTAAGGGGGGTGTCTGGGCAAAATTTTATCTTGGGTATTTACAGACAGATCAGTTTGAAACTTGGTACACATGTGTAAAACCAGAAGAGAAAATTTTTTGTTCATGTGAATTTTGAGAAAAAAATAAAAGGTGAAATTCTTTGAAAATGGACTAAAAAAGGGGTACTTTAGAATTCTATCTCCTCCTAGGGTTTTCAAACTACAACATCCAAACCCATCATTCGATGCATAAAGACCAGAACTGTAAAATGTCGAATACATTGTTTGAAATTTTCATTTTTGTGGGTGTGGGAACGTTTTTTGTAAAATTTCGTAAATTTTTTGATTTTTTTATTTTACTTCTGCCACCCCCCCCCCCCCCTTTTTGGATTATAAAATCCAAACTATAACAAAATTAGAAAAATGTATGCGACGTTTTGTGGATCGTTCATGTGCAAATTGAATGATATGTGTCTCATTGTTGTAGCTTAAAACTCTAGGAGGAGATCGGTTTGCAGTGACAATAAGTTAACTTTTCAGTAGGGCCCAACAAAGTCGTGCGCACCTCTGAAAATGACATTCAAGGGTGCAAGGTTGCAAGACTAAGCACTATTGGAGCTCAATTTCTGTCAAGGATGGTGCAAACAATGGCACAAGAACCATCCCATATGACTGCAGGCGGATAACTGAAGCACAGCGGGTTCAAACTAGCTATTTAAGTGTGATACCAGTAATTTCGGCCGATGTTAAATGTTAAAGAACTCCACCACCCCTAACCCTTTCGCGATCTGTTGTGAACGCATAAATCAATCTACAGGGATGGTTTTGTTACTGTTAGATGCATCAGATTGTAAGCTTCAAGATGAGTATAAAAACCAAAAAAGTCAACATTTTGATTTTGACCCAAACATTCCCCTTGAGGCACCGGGGACACAAAGAAGAGAATTACGGGGGAGGTATACCCTAAAATTTTGGGATTTGGCTTCTCTGGTATTTAGTATCATCTTAAAGCAGACAATCTGCCCTATCCAATGATACCACTGTGATCCCTGTACGTGAATTTATATGCACATGATGGCTCTTTAAAGGAGGGCGGGTGGGGGAGTTCCTTCACTAATTAGATACAAGGCAATTAGCTGCTGAGCATTTTAAATATAGTTTCTACTTGAGTTGTGCTGCAGTTATGTGCTTAGTCTCATCTTAAATCTGACATTCTGAGCTTTCCAACAATACCCCTGCAATCCCTGTACATGAATTTACACTTGGGGGGGGGGAGTTCCTTCAGTAAATAGATACAAGGTAATTTGCTGGCAAACACTAGATATATTGTTGTTTCTGGCATCAAGGCTCAGTCACCCTCCTCGCTTCGTACGGAGAGGTGTACTGCAAGTCGCTGCTACCATCCTTGAGTGGAAGGAAGCTACAGAAGCCTGTAGTTTGGTATCTATGCTACATTGAGTGACTATTTCAAGGCGTGTAGGACTTTGTCGCGCTGTCCTGAAAAGTTTAACTTTTTGTCACAGAAAAGCCTACTCCTCCCAAAGTTTTGAAGCTACTGCGATGAGACATATACCATTCGTTTCGTAAAGACCACACCTATTGAGTAACGAAGCATTTTTTTTTAGATTTGTGCATAATTTGGATTCAAAATGGGGGGAAATCTGAAGAGAAAAATTTTTAAATGCGCTTAAAAAAAACTAAGGCAAAAATCAAAAATCAGGCTTCGTTAATCAATTGGTATGGTCTTTATAAATCGAATGGTATGTCTCATTGCTGTAGCTTTGAAACTTTAGAAGGAGTAGGCTTTTCTGTTGTACCCCTTTTTGGCCGATTTCTATGAACTTCACATTTTCTATGCATTTTTTCAAAAAAATCACACAAACAAAATGTGATTCTTCTGCGGTTTTACATATATGTGTGAAGTTTTAGAAAGATCTGTCCATAAGCAAAAAAGTTTTTCTGGAGGTTATACCCCCCCCCCTTAAGGCCCTGATTGAAAACCGAGAGGCTTTGAACAGGCTCGGCTCTTCCCTAAGCATTTCTTCACAAATTAGGATAGACTTTACTCCACTCACAAATGAGATGGCGATATGGATTTTTCCATACTTACCCAGCTATTTATTTATAAGCGTCAACCAGTAACAAAAAATATGTAAACTTTGTATTAAAAGAGTTTTAATGAGAGAAAATTTCAAGAAACTTTGAATATAACCCTATTGTTCATCATGTCTGCAACTTATTTACTTTTTTCGAGAGGTTAACGGGTTGCAATTTTTATTCTCCATTGAATGGTATACTCGGCATTCCTTGATCAGCTTCCTTGTTGTAGATATTTTCTACCGAAAAATAGTTATGATCGAGCCTGCTGATACGCCGAGGGAAAATCCCACATACTAGCTGCTCAAATGGAGGCGTTGTGCAATGTTTGAGGGGAAAGAGACATCGTAAATTACTCAACTGTCAGCTCACGACAGGTGGCATGGTAAAGGCGAACTCAATTAGGGGCGAAGAATAATACGTGGTCAGTGGTCGGCCTAGTCCAATTAGTTATAGCCGACCGTTGGCCATTCCTCAGCCACCTGAAAGCGATCAGTTGCCGCGAAGAAGGGTCTGGCTAGGATATCATATTACCAAGAGTACAAGCTCGAGGGTAGCGACTGGCCGAGCTTTGGGCAGATCAAGGATTTTACACGATGGTTGCAAAAACCACGCTCTCAGACTTCGCTGCATTTTGACTACAAGCCTTAATTCAAACAAGCAAAAGTGTATAAATAATTATTAATATAATAATAAAAGTGTATAATTATTTATTATTCAATAAATAATTAATTTGCCAAAATATGGCCCCTAACAACTGATTTGTGATCTATGTCTGATAAGGATAGATGCACAATGATAAAATGAGCTACTATCACACACATTTGTTTCAGCAGGTACATAATAGTTTGGAAGAAATTTCTTAACAACAGCTCCACACAGAGTCATGTTTGAAGATTGGAAAGAGAAAAGTTTCTATGTATAGTGATGTTTGAGGATTAGCAGGTAAACCATCTTTAAATAGAGTGATGTTAAAGATTGTCAGGAAAAGCATCTTTAAATTAGAGTGATGTTTGAATATTAATTAGCAGGATAGAAAGCTTCAAACTAAAGTATGTTTCAAGATTAGCAGGAGAATTATTCTCATAAGAACCAGCATTCAACATTGAGTTACTGATCATCATTCATTTTACATTCATGAGGAAATTGTAGTTCTTTCCTTTGAAGAAGAATGAAATCTCCCGAATTGAGGCAAAGTTTTGTTCCTTAATTTGGATAATTCTCCATAACTACCTAATTGTCACATTTCAGGTTCAGGTAATATCCTGAAATTATATGTGTTGTGGATGTACACTGGCATGGCCTAATATATTTTATGGTGCCTGGCTTCAATAAAATAAGCCAATAAATTACATTATACATTTTTTGCTTGATATTCATACATAATTTGTTCATTATACAGCTAGGATATTTCCATCAATAGTGAATGGTGTTAATTTTTCTTTGCAGTATTAGGGACCCTTGGGGCAACTCCATTATGGATCTTTTTTTGCTGGATTCAATACCACAAATTACTAGATACCACCATCCTTTCTAAATTGTCACCTTGCTCATTCTGTTTTTATTTACTAAAGCATATAAACCTTCTAACTTAGCTGCCTTATTATACTGGCCATATCATTACCAGTAGCACCTGCAGATCATAAATTTTCATTATATATCTGCTGAATCTATTCTTGCTTTATTATGTCCAATTGTGTAAATTAGTGATAATCCCTCACACTATTTCAATTCTTCAGTTTCCATAATCCTTTCAGTGTTCTTTTCATCGCTGTCAACATAATAGGTAGATTAAAAATTTCAACATCAGTAATTCATAATTATCATCACATTTGGTGATGGTGCCAATTACCAAAAAATGCAGTGTTGTGCTGCACCAACTCTCTGGTGCTGCAGTCAGGAGTGGCAGATGCCCTGAGCAGAGCCTCACTCCAGCATCTCCTGGTGGCAGCAAAGTCAAGTCTGAAGGTAAGCCAGATTCCATGTGCCTCACTAATCAGTTTCTATTGTGCCGAGGAGGAAATGGGGCTATGTGAATTTATCTGATTTAATTTTCATCTATGTTTCTTTCATGAGAGCCTAAATATAAAATTTGATAACATTTTGTGGCAATAAGGGGATCACTTTCTTCTGAGTGAGATTAATATTTTGTCTAAATTCATTGTGAGATAACTTGCTCCATAACCCAGTGGCACCAGTACACCAATGAACTTATTTTACAGCCTTGGAACATGACTCTCCACAAGTTGTCGAAGCTTCTGTTAATTCCATTAAGAAGGAGCTTGAAGATGAAACTGAAGAAGTTTCTATCAAGGAGGAATCATTTTTATATGGAAGTGAGGTAGGTGGAGTTGATATGCTTATAAATTTTGGTCAAAGCTTGTGAAATTACTGAATAGATTTTCATGAAAAAATTAGCAGAACAGCATTTCCGTAATCAAGTCAGGCATCAGAATACAAATTTAAATTGAGTATCAAGTCTGGAATATTAAGCAATAATAATAAAGGTAAGAAGTACACTCATCTTGATCAAGTTTGCTAATTGCTATGCTAAACCTAAACTCAAAAATTTTTCCCATAGTTTCCTACAGTTAATAATGATAAAGTGATTATATGTGAATAGATGGTTTCTGCCTCCTATTTACAGGAACTATATAAAACTATCCAAATTTCCTTCAAATTTTCCTCTTTTTCAATGAATAAATTTGAATGACACACAGAATTCCAAAGAATGGAACTGGGGAACAAGCATGTGAATTTTTTTAGCTCAAGTAATGCAACGTGAAAAAAAATTGCTTACAACATTAATTAATACTAATTTTGATTCAACAAAAACTTACTATAAGTGTGCACTTGCTTCTGAAATTTCCACTTATGTTATTTATCTATTTTATTTTGAAAACTGGCAAGTGCAGTATTTGCATTATGAAGCATGGACATAAGAAATCCATTTATAGCAGGTAATTTATGATGTACTGTTAAGAAAATAGGAACTTGCTGAGAATTCAATTAGGAGTTCTATATTATATAAAAATTATATATAATATAGAACTATACATTATATTGTTTCGCATGAAATGCACACATCATTGCCAGCCACATCAACATTGTCCTCCACTTCTCCCCAGAATGTCACAAGAGTCACATACCATATCTTTCCTTGTAAAATGCTCACATCACTGCAGCCACATCAACATTGTCCTCCCCTTCTCCCCAGAATGTCACAAGAGTCTCATACCATATCTTTCCTTGTAAAATTTACACATCACTGCAGCCACATCAACATTGTCCTCCCCTTCTCCCCAGAATGTCACAAGAGTCACATACGGTACCATATCTTTCCTTGTAAAATTTACACATCACTGCAGCCACATCAACATTGTCCTCCACTTCTCCCCAGTCTTGTTCAACTGAACATCTAAGCCCAGCACCTGCATCCTCTTCTTGTGTGCCGTGCAAGACGGAAGCTCAAGTTGAGGCTCATGATGCCCTACCAAACTCCTCACAGAACATTTCTGCTTTGATGTTGAATCAGGTATTTATATTTAAAGATGCAGGTTCAGCTTTCCTAATTTAAATTATGCGATTTTTTCCTGATCTTATTAGAATTACCAATTTTTTGTGTTACTGTTGGCATTTAAGTATAAAATAGTCTAGTTAATTAATTTTGGTAGTGAAAATGTAAAGAGATATAAGTTTCCTTATGCATTTAATTCTGCTAGTGAAATCTAATGATTTTCGATCAAAGAAATAGATAGCCCTATTATTGATTTCTTCTAAGCAAGGATCAAATCTTTGAACAATATATCTAGTTCTTGCAGTCTATGAAGACTAGGAAATGCACCTGAACCTATTACAATAAATGTAATATCCTCACATCTGAGATCACATCCAGGGAAGGATAAAATTGGTAATAATCAACACTGCACAGCATGGGACAGAGATACTATATTGCTTGGGTTCACAATATTAGTTTTCTATTCTGAAGTTGTCTATAGTCTGCTTGGGTGAATCAAGTTCTCATACATATAGCAGAAAGAGTATTTCTTCACATGGCCTTTGATTGCCAGCAGTGAGGAAACTGAAATATTCATATAATATTGAGAATTAAGGAAATGAAATCCAATCTTTATGTCAAAATATAAAGATTATGTTTAGCCCAGTAATTCTGAAAATATTTTTTATTATATAAAACAGCAGGGTTGTTGTTATTTTGGCCTTGGTCCATGTGTTATACTTTCTGGTTGGTTTTCCTCGTCAGCTACCTGTAACAAATTCATAGGAGACAGATGACGCACTGACATATTGTACTTGATTAAAGTAATAGCAATCAGTATGTACACATAAGATATAAATACGCTGTCCAACAAGGATGGGAGCTTAGAGTCAACAACCTTAATACATATAATAACTAGTTCCTAGTAAGCTGGAGACCACAATACAGTTGCAACCATAATGTCAGGATACTCGCTATTTTGTCATAACAACTGATTCCCTACACCAGGGAAGGCTGAAGACAATGCATAACCAGAGCTGGGTCTCTTCAACGAGTTGGCAGTAGCTGCTTGTGTTGAAAATGTTGATTCTGTTTTTATAATTGCTTTGGAGAATGCAGTGATCAGAACAAAGCTGTGCCAGCTTCTGTCATGTAGATCTGGGATTGAAAGATCTGATTTGTTCATTGTTCAGAGTAAAGGAAGCAAGCCTCTGGGAATTATTGGTGCGTGGTATGAGTCAATGGCATTGTTGATGTAATAGCCCATCCTGGTAGTGGCAACTAGTTTAGCGAGAGTGCTAGGTCAGCTTTTCAGGGCACTAGCGCCACAGGCAGTTAACAACCATCAGTGGCCCGCTAATCTGCAAAAACCATTTGCACAACACAATACCCTGGGCAAGCCAGGTCAACATTTATCAACCATAAATGGTTGAATGGCAGAGTTAGCTAAGAGCTGAGCTTCTAAAAGAACTTGTCCTGAGTAGGACTTGAACTTGGGCTGCAGGGTGCAAGAGACCGTCTCTATCCATTGTAGCTCTGGTCAATGTTTTTGGTGTGGAGCCTGTTGCTGGCTGTTTTAAGGGTAACACTGGTAATGTTGATTGGTAGTACTGGCTGAATTTCATTGATGTATTTAGTTTTTAGACTGTGTTTCATGTTGCAGGGTTGGTGATTAGTTCATGTGACTTGATGGCAGGTCTGTTATTGATGAGAAAATTGCTGTAAGTAGGAAACATTGCATTTTACAATCAAAATGATAATATTGTGTTGTTTAATGTGTGTTGTGTGGCATTTTGAAACGCTTGAAGCCGAGTGATGTTGGTTGATGGTAAAATGATCATATCTCAGATTGGGCAGGTGTAGTCAATTATGGAACAACAAATAGTTTAGTAGGTATGTAGTCCTTGGTGTAGTTAGACCTTGTTTTGCCCACACAATGTTCGTGAGATGAATTTTAGTATGTTGTGAATTGATGACTGTATCTCTGAAGAAGTCCTCTCCAGCCCAGCAAAAATCATCCACGTGGATGCAGATGATGCCTGACAGCAAACCCTCCTTGAAGTAAAAGAACAGTGCACTGTCCAAGCTGCACATCACCATACCCATTTGTTAAAGTACTTTCTTTTCTCTGAAGTACCACGCGCGTGCTGCATCACAAAGACCGTAAACCGTTTTCTTCAGCTTCCACAAGAAGCCCTTATCAAATTCCTTTGGTAGTCGAACATAGATATTACGGTCAATTTTCTCGCCTTGCAAGAAAGCTGCTTTAACATCAAATGAGTTACAGATCCAGCCATGTGCGGCGATAACAGTTAGGGCTACTCAGAGCGAATCTCTAGCACACGTAGGTGAATCAGTTCTCACATTTTCAAGGTCCTCTTCGAATCCCCGGGCAACAAGTCTCGCTTTGATGATAGTATGACCATCCTTTTCCTTCTTTGTGATAACCCAACGAACAGAGAGAGATGGCTGTCTAATATTTTCAACCTCTTCAAACACTTCAAACAATTATTGTACTCTGCTTCCTTGGCTTGTCAAGTTTGTGAATCACACACTGTAATGAGAGTCTCTGCCACCGTACGCCATTTTTCAACTTGTCGGCACAAGTCGACCCAATCCACCTCACCATTATCACGTCTGATGTTGTAGCAGCTGTCATATATTCCACCTGCCTTACCAGCTCGACTGAGAACAGTAGCGGAAAATTTATCCCCTCCGTGCTTTGGCCAACATTCAATTTTCTGGCCAATTTTTGGCTTGCAGGCACTACTACGAGTAGGAGTAATGTAGCCATCAATGACTTCGTTTCGTCGAGCTGGTTGCTGTTGCGCAATATCATCGTCATCCGAATCGTAGTCCACTGTAGCAGTATCACTGTGAGTGCGTTCCTGGCATGCTTCAGGAGCCGATTGTGCAGCTCTGAGATCAGCTGGCAAGGTTGGAATGGAGTGTTGGCAGGTTCCTTGTACTGAAGTCTGCAGGTGTGTACTCTCACGTAAGATCCACCATGCTTCACCAATACTTGTTTATCGTTTTTTCCGACGACAACGCCAGGCCCGTGCCATCTATCACTGTATCTCCATTAACCAGATCATCCACGTCCGATGTTCGTTCTTGATGCAGCAAGGCTCTCCTTAACTTTTCGCAGGACTCGTTCTTCAAGAAATCCACCCGAGCGGCGTGCATGGCATTTAGATTATCGGCAACCATTTTGTATGGTGTCCGGTTTTCAAGAGAAGGGAGCCTTCCGTCATACACGCTGGGAAAAGAAGGGTTCGTTCCAAAAACCAGCTGGTTTGGCGAATATCCATGACAGTTCTGCAATGCATTCCGGGCAGAGATAGCCCAGGACAAAGCTACACTTAGTTCACATTGAGTGTCATCGAGAATCTTCTGCACGCTAAGGCCCAATATATAATTGAGACGCTCGCAAACTCCATTACTCCATGGAGCCTCGGCAGCAGTGCATACCAACTTTATGGCGAAACTATCGGCAACTCCACGCATCTCATCATTGTTGAATTCTCCATTGTCGGATAGAAATTGCTTTGGGGCACCAAATAAGGAAATCCAGTCAGTAAAAAGGCATTTGATGATTGTTTCAGCCTTCTTGTCATGGATCAATATAGCACGACAAAAACGTGTAGCTAAGTCCACGAGCACCAAGAAATATGTACCAATTTTCCACGCCTTCAAATCCATAGCTACCGTTTCACCGTTTCATTAAAGGTCTTTGCCATGGACAGGGCAACAACAGGTCTTGGACGCTGTTTCTTGTATTTAATACAAGTTTCACAGTTCTGCGTCACATTGTCGACGCACTTCAAGAGTGCAGGGTCTCCCTGTTCCGCGTCAATCAGCAACCTCTTCAATTTTTCCGCTGATGGGTGAGCAAATTGCCTATGTAGCTTCAAATCAACCTTACTTTTGTCATGCGAGTCAACGTCGTTCAATAAAATGTACTCAATTCGTGTCTGCGAAGGAGGAGAGCAGATGGGTAGAGTGTAGTGACCCATAGTGGTAGAACCAAGTTTCACATGTTTATCAAAAACATTCGCGGTGTCGTCATTCAAATTAATCACCATTCCAGCTCTCTTCATGGATGACCTACTCAGCAGCAGAGGAATGTTAGAATCGACAACATCAGTCTTCACTTTCACAGCCTTGCCGGCCAACACGCTTGGGAGTGTGACGCACCGTGTGGCTTTCTTGCGTTGACCGTCCCCAAAGCGATAAACTGAAGTACTAATCTCGGTTCTGATTGATTTTTGATCAGGATCTGTAAGAGTTTCCATATAACACCGTAACCACTGTTCACCACACACAGTCTTTGAGCAACCCGAGTCCAAAAGAACTTTTCAATAGTTTCACCTAAGAGACTGTCCATTTTCACATCCGATGCATCACAGCGGCCATTTGAGTTAATCTCTACTTCTTCATCGTGTTCGTCGTAGTAGGGCTGGTCGCAATCATCACCGTAGAGCACTGAAGAAGTTTGACGCTCAAAAGTATGAGGACAGTCTTTGGCCCAATGTATTCGAGAATAACAAATGGCACAAACTGAAACTGATCCGTCAGGATTAAGCGGGTTATATCTACTGCAGGTAGAACTGTTACTTCGTGTAGGAATTGACGAGTCTTGGCGTTGGCGGTAACTAGCAGCACCTCGGTATGTAGGCCGCATACCATACCTCCTTGACCGACCACGTGCGCGACTACTACCGCCATACAGAGCTTCATTCTCAAGAACAGGCTCGACTTTCACGATTTCAGGAGAACCTGCAGCTTCACCTGTTAATAAATGGCCACTTTCGGCGAAGAGTTTCTTCAATGTTGCTCGCATGTCTTCAAAGGGCATCTTTGGTGTAGTAGACAGTGCAAGCTGGAAATGTACATCACTCAGACCACAACTCTTGAGCAGCCTACATGCAATTACTGCATCGGGTAGTACAACCTTACATTCTTTAAGTTTGTGATGCCGTAGATCAAACTCACTTAGGTATTCGTCTATGGAACACTCTTTAGAACGGCGGTAGTTTTCAAAGGCCAAGTAAGTGTTGAAGCATTTCCAATTTTCATCTTGCTCAAATACACGGTCTAATTTATCCAACAACTTTTTCATACCATCTTCTCCTTTAATTTCATTCACTAAAAGCTCCGATGAAGCATTCCGGGCTCTGCCGGTCAATGACAAATGAACAGCAATGGCGTGTTTACTCTTGTCTAAATCCGTCAAAATAGTCCACAGCTCCACATCCTTTTTCCACTGATCTTCTTTAAACACAGGAGGAACATTAGTAGTAACGGCTCTCGCTGAAGCCATTTCGCACGCTCTGCTGCCAATTGTTAATAGCACACGCTCACAAGATGCTCACCCTATCATGGTTCACGCTAGACTGCTGTCCCCAACAGCATTGCCGCCAACTTGCGTCACGTTACAGCCAGCCCACGCCACGTAGGCTACCGGCGTTCCCCGAACCAATCAGAGCGCAGCACAAAGCCATCTCACGACCAAACAAGTGTGACGTCACAACCACTCGGCAACACCAGCAGACCAATCAGATATTAACATGTTGTTCAATTCTGAGCGTTTGCTGTTGTGGTTTTGTGTTGGGGGATGAAAATGAATATTGCATCAACGGTTAGGCATAGTATATATGGGTTGTGTTCAAGCAGGTATTCAACTTGAGACCAGGTAATTGTTACTAACTTATTTGCTCACACAAAGTATTAATGCTGAGCAATGCTTGCAGGAACCACAAAAGATGGGGTAAAAATCACTAAATTTGTAACATATTTGTTATAATGTGGTAAGTCCACAGTTTGATGTGGCTGTTATTAATATGGTAGATGGTTTTACTCTGTATTTTTATCATTAGTTTGGTGAAGGTGGCTCAGCACTGGCATCAGGAGTTGCTGCTGGTGGCGCTGATGTCTCTGGGGCGTCCAGCTCAAAGCAACACATCGGGCTTGGGCGTTCCCAGCGTGGATTGGTGCCTGCAGGTGCAGGCAAACTGCAGCAGCACCTTGATCTGGAACATCCTGCTTCAGGACCCCGCAGCTGCTCTGATTGCATCTCTAGTTCAGAGGGTGGACTAAAGCAGCACAATAATGCAATACATTCGATAGGCAAATCACTACAGCTCTATCACTGTGAACAATCGCATGCCACAAGAAAACCACTGCAAGAGCATATTAAATGCAAACAGCTGTGCGGAAGTAAACACCAATGCCAGTTTTGTTCGAATTCATATACCACAGAAGCTGATCTCAAAAAACATATTTTATTGCAGCATCCTCGCAGACATGCACAGAAATACTCTCGGAGTAAATATGCTGATGGTTGTAAAGAATTCAAGCAAAAGCATCGCCATTCTAAGTCTTCATCACTGAACAAGTTTTGCTGCACCAAGTGTGATTATGCTGGTGCCACAAAACAGTGCCTGAAAAATCATCAACTTTACAAGCATTCAACAGAAAAACCTTTCAAGTGCTCTGTGTGTGATTATGCTTGTGCCATTAAAGCAGACATGAAAAGACATTTTCTTCGCAAACATTCAACAGAAAAGCCTATTCAGTGTCCGGAGTGTGATTATACTTGCACCACTAACAAGTACTTGAAAAATCATCAACTTTACAAGCATTCAACAGAAAAACCTTTCAAGTGCTCTGTGTGTGATTATGCTTGTGCCATTAAAGCAGACATGAAAATACATTTTCTTCGCAAACATTCAACAGAAAAACTTATTCAGTGTCCGGAGTGTGATTATACTTGCACCACAAACATGTACCTAAAAAATCATTTGCTCAGCAAGCATTCAACAAAAAAAACAGTCAAGTGCCCTGAGTGTGATTATACTTGCACCACGAAAGGTGTCTTGAAAAATCATACTCTTCACAAACATTCAGGAAAGGAAATTTTTCAGTGCTCCGAGTGTGATTACGCTTGTGCCTATAAAGAGCACATGAAAAGACATTTTCTTTGCAAGCATTCAACAGAAAAACCTTTTCATTGTTTGGAGTGTGAGTATGCTTGCTCCACAAAAGATGGCTTGAAACTACATTTTCTTCACAAGCATTCTGCAGAAAAACCTGTTCATTGCTCTAAGTGTGACTATTCTTGCAAAACAAAAGGTATGTTGCAAAGTCATTTTCTTAACAAACATTCCACTGACAAACCTATTCAGTGCCCTGAATGTGACTATGCTTGCACCACAAAAGTGTCCTTGAAACGCCATATGCTTAACAAGCATTCAACAGAAAAACCATTCAAGTGCGCCTCTTGTGATTATGCTTGTGCCACAAAATGGCATATGAAAAGACATCATCTTAGCAAGCATTCAACAGAAAAAGCCACTTCAATACTCCAAGTGTGATATGTGTCACTAATGCATCATTTAAAAGCAGCTACTCCCTTGGCTATCAGAAATCAATACAGTGACCCAAGTGTGAAGATGCATGTGGATGTAGTAAGCTTGATACAATTAATACTCAAATGCAGAACATTAATTTTTTTTGATAAGAGGACCATGCTACATCGAATATAGGTAGTTCTTCACTCTAAAAACAACCCACGTGTATTTAAGGTATAAAAAAACTTGGCAAATTATTTATATATTACTAGGCCCTCAAACTTGTACTGTAGTCATTCATGACCTATTATAATGCAATGAAATAGAAAAAAATGAAGACCAAATATTTCCTCAATATTAAAGTCAATTTTTTATTTTTTAAACTTCTGTATAAATTCTTGGACACTTTTTCAGTTATTCTTTTCACATCATTGCTAGAGAAATTTTTTGTTACTTTATGGACTGTAACTTTAACATCAATTTTAAGTCTGGTGTTAATTTAATTTGTATACTGTATTTTCTCAAAGTGAAATATGAAAATAACCCACATGAGTTTGGAAAAAACTGTTTTTTATAATTATATTTAGACACAGTATGTTTAAAAACTTCATGTTTGATGTTATTTTTGACATAAATCAACTCAAAAGTCCATAAAACCAGTTTTAAAAATATTACTCATTACTAAAAGCTTACAGTCAAGTGTGTGAAATAGGGGCAGCGAAGTCCATAGAAGAGTTGTTCGCCATGAAGCCTTCTGGGGGCTGGAAGCCGTTGATGTAGTGAGAGAAGATAAGTAAAGCTCGTCGAGAAAACTCACGATGGCTTTGGTTCATTGAATTTCACATCTTTTTTGGTGTAAACATTTGTTTTAGGTTCCTGTTGGCAGATTTTACTGAATAATATTAGTTGATGCTAAACTAGCTCTAAAATAGTGATGTCGTAAGTTTAAAGATGAGAGAGTACATTTTTGTATGTGGTGCATTTCCAGAACAAGTCTTGTTCGTGCATCATCATCAATTTGCTCTGACTTTTACTGCTTATGGATTAATTCCTTTAGTTTGGTATTTTCCTGTTGAAACACAAAGTAACCCACTCATATGGCGGATGTTATACCACTAAAACAAGGCGGTATAATCCTACTCAACCACCAGATGGCCGGGAGCGAGCTTATTACCAACCCGTTTAATCGAGCGGCTGTCGTCTTGCTGCGCTCACGTCCAACGCATCTGTTGACGATACAGGGTCATCGTTTTTTGGGTCGTATTTTGTCGCTGAAATCTTGCTCTTGCAGCAGCTTAACCTGGTGTACATAACAGCTCAACCTGGCGTACGAGGCTGGTCAACCTCATGGTTGAACTAGTATAAGGTTGACCTATGAGAAGCTAGTTTTAGCGGATGTAATTTGTTGTTCGCCTGTGACGTCACTGAGATCAGTGACGTCACGGACATTAACCAATCACCAAAATGCAATCAAACCAGTCAACCAATCCGTCATAGGAATGAAGGGATTGTTTACGTTTCTCGATCTCAGAGACGTAACAAGAAAGCTGAACTGAAAGACTGAATTCCTCGTGAGTCAACCTTATATAGTTCAACCATGGCTCAACCTGCTGTACGTATCATATTCAACCGGCGTACGTAGCAACTTAACTTGATGTGTTTAACTTGAAGACGTATGGTTTTGTGACTACGTTTTAATTTAGTAGAAAACACAGTATAAATTCTCCTAAGTGCCCCCATAAGTCGTTGCCGACAATATGTAGAATTAATGATTTTATGATTAATATGTGTTCTGGCCATATGCATTTCTGTATGTGCAGAGTACGGATAGATTAAGTATATATATTAAAAGGAGGCTTAATGGTGTTTTTTTTTTATCCACGAGTGTTTGTGATACTCCTGTGGCAATGAAATATATTTTTTTGCTTTAACGAATAAGAAAATTATAAATAAAACTTATATCCAGGTTTTCATTTTCACTTGTATAAAAGTGGAGATCATGCTATCCTGTGCAAACATGCGTTTCACTATATCTGTTCCAATGTTCCTGTATTCCAAGGTTACAATCTGTATGCACTAATTGCGAGCCTTATTCAGACAGCCTTTGTTATCTCGTACTTCCTTCTAGTACAACTCCCGGCACGTAGGTTTCGTTAGTCAATTGGCGGTCCTTGCGTCTCAGGCTCATCGTTAGCGTGGCTTTTCTAAAGTGAAAATTCTACGGTCGGCAAATCGTGTCGCGGTTGGAGTGGAAGAACAGTGCAAAGTTTTACTTCGAAGAATTTTTTTATTTCTTAAACGAATGAGACGATATCTGTCCGAAATTTACAAAAAGAAATAGTTCGTCCTCATCTCTGAAACATTTCACTTCCCGTTTTCTTTAATTTAAGAGATTTCTATGAAAGACGCTATTCGTCATGACTGAGGGAAATTCGATGAAAATACACACAGTTAAGTAATTTTTTATGTAAAAACACAATTCCCTTATGAATTAGAGTTTTAAAAATATCATTTACATATTTTGATTCTAGTATATCAATTATTGAGAGAGTTTTGGATTGATAACTGATTTGAAAACCTAGAAAATGATGCACTCTCTTTAATATGACGTCATCTGACGTCAGTAGGGTTGATTATTTATTTATCAACCAACACAATGGAGTTGTTCAATCATACAATCACAAGATATCGCACGGTTCTCTGCGGTTAAAAAATGCCAGCATATTATTACATAATTGTTGGGTAACCTCGCGCGTAACTCGGTCAGATCAATCAAGCCATCAGCACTACGGTGTGGAAGCCGTGCTCAGTCCACGTATCAGCAAGTTTCTTATCTCGACCGTGCAGTCTATGTAAAAAGATATTTGTCGCTGCAAGAATTTTCAGACTACGGGCGGTTCTCAGGAGACCGATGAATGACCAGCGGTCAGCTATAGCTACCGTCACTGATACATAAGTCGCCATTCAGCAGCTACTGCATATGCCTCGGCGATCGCCAATAAAATCCGTAAAATACTGGTCAGAATAACGATTAATAGAATAAAATAGAAAGGTTGAAATTACCACGTAAAATTAAAGAAGCATTTTCGATCGCGCTAGAAAGATGTGTTTCAATTTTGTTTACGGAATAGATCGTTTCTTGTGAAGACCGGCGACATAAGTACTGTACTCAGGCAGCGTTGCCAGATGGTATATTTCTATACCAGATTTCACAAATCTGGTATTTTCAAAAGGTGTCTGGTATGAATATTTTAGATCTGGTATATTTGCCTAAATCTGGTATTTTTCTGGTATTTTCTAACTTGCTGCAAATTTACTGCATTAAGTTCCACCTCTGAAGTTTGAACTTCCTCCAGCATAGGCATGGATTATATAGATTACCTTCAGAGCGGCGCGACTAGAGGTTTCACGCCATTTTTGGAACAGCAAGTTTTCCGCTTGATGAAATAACCACAATCTAATTGTTAACATTAAACAAAAGTGCTTAGTGCAATATAAGCATGAGAGTGATGATCCTTGATTGATTACTGACCAGTGATGATATGGCCTAGGACGAGTGAGGTTGTCGAACCGATCTCGCGACGCAAGCTCCACCCTTTTTGTTTGGTGGTTTTGAATTCTAGAGTGCCACTTGAATTCTGGGGTGCCATTCAATATTTCACTGATCTCGAAAATCATCATGTAACTGGCTGCATCCTGCATCACTTGTGTACTTTGACCTGTCTGAAGCTGTCTCCAATGCATTCCTGGAACGAATGTTTTCACAAGTCACCTATGTGAAAAACAAGCAACGAAGTAAAATTTCAACTAAGGTGCTGGAGTCCCTTATTCAGAGCAAAAGCTATCTGCTCAGCCGCAACAAGTGAAAGTGATCAAACCCGAAATGTTAGATTCAATATGCAAGCATGTACAAAAAAAACAAAAGGAAGATGACCGGTTTCCGTGGCTTGCTCACGTTGTGCGAAGAGGAAGAAGTGCCACACTGTCAGATAAAAAAGGAAGAAGTGACAATGTAATCAAACACAGGAAAAGGAAAGTGCCAAAATGTTCCAAACAGAGGGAAAAAA